TTTCAGACAGTGGGTACGAAAGTGGCTCCGCCAGCGAGATGAAGACGACGACGACGAGACGCCAACTCCCCCCCGAACACTACCTGGCCTTAGCAGAGAGCCTCGATATCACTCAGCTTCGACAGAAGCGGTACAGCCCGAAAACCCAGGAAAAACTCGATGAGACCCGTGATTACTGGGAGAGGTAGACAGTGGCTCATTTGACCCTTGGACTGTGTCATAAACTCACCAGTGGCGCTGGGCAGGTATTGTCGGCACATCAAGGTGAACGCGGAGCGGCAATGGGACTGGATCTCAGATTCAGAGGAGACGGTTCGCTTCCTGTATGGATTCTTTAGTTGGCGGTGCGATATCCGTCGTGGCAAGAACAATCGACACTGTCCAGGCATTCGACGCAAAAGCTCACTGGAGACATTTTGGAAGTGGTGGCACCTTGTCCTCAAACAGGAAACAGCATCTGGACTCAGCAAAGATACAATTGTCAAGGTGGAAGATGTGAGCATCTACACACACTCTCTTCTTAGATTACTAAACCAGAAGCGCCACTGATCTTCTGCAGGTTGTTGCACGGGTGGCCACAGAGAAGGAGCTGGCGCTCTTTGGGCGGCCAAAGAAGAACATGTATATTGAAGATGTTGCTGAATTTGCTCAAGTCATTCTCACCACCACTGAGATGACGTTTGTCTGCGGCTGGCAGTGTATCCAAATGCTTTTCTTCTTGCAGCTCGCGGCCATCACCGCGAGCCGCCCGTCGGCGCTCCTCCACCTTCGGTATCGAGACATCGTGTTAACCCTGATCCGAGTTCCAGACGGTGGTCGTCCCCGACTGTTCATATTCTTAAAACTGGGTTTTACGAAAAGATTTCTTGGAGATAAGGCATCGTAAGTGTTTCTGATCCTCGCGGCATGGCCTTGCTGACTGACAGAATTGATAGAAATGAGTTTAAGATTCTGGAAATCATCTTTGATCCAACTCTAGTTCTCAGTCCGCATATCTGCCTGCTGATTATGCTCTTTCACATTGGAGGATTCAAGTCAATTTCGACAACTGGACCAGTGCTAGATTCAGCGGAGAAACTCTACAGCGTCAAGGTGCTGGATGGCAAGGGACAGCAGCCGCTGCTGCTAAAGGATGAATTACTGGATAAGTTTGTGTTTTGCCAGACGGAACCAACACCCACCGGGTTTAAAATTCGCTTGGATCAGAGGATGACTCCATCCATGGTGAGTTCGCGGATGCGCCGAGCTGGCGAGATCACGGGCTTTGAGGAAGTCGCCCATCCATACAACCTCCGATATGCTGGAGCCAAGGCATTTAACAACAGCCGTAAGTACTCCTCCGCTTCCTTTGTGTTTCAGTCATGTCAGAGAGCTAACAATGAACAGAGGAAGTTCCAGAGGCTCTTCAGAATGTCATGCTTCAACACGCGGATATCCGCACCTTTGTCAAGCATTATCAGGTGGACGTCGACGTGGACGCGCAGGGCATAGTCCGGAAAACAGGCTCCCAAACGGCGTTGGTGCGATTTGCCTGCTCAATGAGTGCATCGATTGACTCCAACCGACCGTACAAGCTCTCTCCAGAAGAATCACGGTCACTCAATTACCTCCCAGTTGTCCTTGGCCGACAGGCTACTGTCCGGAAGCGCAAGCGGGATTTGGAGGATCGTGAAGCCGAGCTAGAACGTGCCAACAAGGTATGCAAGACTGCTTTCGGGCACCTTGACGACAAAGCACTCGCCGAATCCAACCCGGCGCGCTGAGGCGATTACTATTCGGCAGCGGCACAGAGGAGGATTGTATATAATGGAAAGCTTTATAAATGAATTTGATTATCTCACTTGAACTGCAAACTCGTAGAATACTATACAAATACTGAACTATCAGAGGTACTCAGCACACTAAGAATATTGTATGAGAACAGTGGTAACTTTGATATCTTATTGTCAAAAGATAAAAGATGAATCACTGACTTCTGGAATAGAGAGTCAGCATCTAACTATTTTATATAGACAATGGGCAGCCATTCTCCCCTCACTTTATGAGCAAGAGTAGCGGAAGCAACTCCACAGTGGTGCTGCATTGATCTGCCAGAAGGAATCTACTGACTCTGTATAGAAACAAAATTCTCATATCTCATCAATCGGATCCTCTTCTATTGCATCTGAATGATGTTATAGAGTGATTGGAAACCGGTTCAGACACCTGTGTGATGTCATGGGATAGATAGGATTATCCGGGGGGAAGTGATGGGCCGTGTGGAGCCGCCATGGGGCCTTGACACAACCAAGGGTGTGACAATGCTGGAGAGACTGGAAGTTTTCTGTGATCGGGTAAGGGAAGCAAAGTCGGAGCACAACGGGTCTATCCGCGAGCTGCGTAATGAGAAGCAGCGGCAGCGAAACCGACGGATCCGTGAGAACCTTGAGCGCCATAAGAATGAGCAGCCCGTGATTGACCTTGAACGACAACTGGCTGGCAAGCTAGTGGACACCAAAGTCATGGACACCTTCAAGCATGAGGCCTTCATGCCTCCCGAGCACCTGTTGTTTGTCGACAGCATGCTGACCATGCCAGGTGCCTGCCTCGAAGCAGAGTATCAGCGGCGGATCAACACAATCAACGCAGGTGTAGCATTCTGCGGTGTGGAGGAAGGGCGACCGTTGCGTCAGTCCACCCAGTCCCGCAGCCGGCCAGCGCGTGATGATGATCCCTCCCCTCCGGCCAAGCCGCAGCGGCGCTCCGAGGACGATACTGAGTTCCTTTTGCGCCAAGCAATCGAGTCGGTGCAGGTCAAGTCAACAGCTAGTCAGTCCCGGTCCTGCTTTCGGCCTCGCGTTTGCTTCCTCTGCGTTGGGAATCCCAGTTGCTCATTGAAGGACCGCATTATGAAATACGCAACACGCGGATCACTTACAAGGCATTTTCAGCGAAGACATATCAACCCCCCGTGGCCGGCCACTGGAGTTGAGTGCAATGTTTGTGAGGGAAAGGTGTTCCCGGCCAAATCCGCCCTTTTAGTCACGCAGAGGAGGCCCATGGAACAGTTGTTCGGGGTCACGCTCAGGAGAAACTGGCAATAAAATGTCAACGGAGCTTAGAGTACTAGCTTTGTACAATAGATATATACATATACATAATAAAAGGAGTTGTGGTTCTCTCATGGCCATCCTCACTCTTCACTGAGTCACTATTTTACGATGCCTGGGTTATTAAACTAGGATCATGTAGCAGGTGGAAAATTGTGTAATCGAGAGCTTACATTGCTGCGCCACCTGGGGTATAAAGGCAGCGTAGCACCCACTACATTTCAACCATCAACATAAAATTGTTCCCATACCTCTTCCGTAATTCTCCACGTCTACATGCCATGTCGGAGATTAAACCCAACCTAGACACGCTGCCCGCCGAGATCATGATTCAAATATGTGGATATATGGACTTTCCCAGTCTCTGCTCATTAATCCTGACTTGCCACACCAACTGCATCTTGCTCTTGACCAGTTGTAGTCTCACAATTTTCTCATAAAGCCACGCCGCAAATGGCACAATTCTGTTCCGTTTACGTTGAGATATAATATTAGTATTTTTTAAGGTGGAGGAAGCAAATGCCTCCAGCAGAAGCTTTAGCAAAGCATTGTTAAAAAATAAAAAGCTGTCGCACGCAAGTCCACCAGCCTTTCCTTTTAGGCTTCGACAGAAAAAGATGATGCATCAAGCTAAAAGGCTCTATGCTTCTGTCTTCCTAAAAATTGCTTGATTTGCTGGAACCCTTGAAGGTCCCCTGCCTTTGTCTCCTTTAACCTCTCTGCAACCCAACCATCCGTGAAGCCACCACCAAAATCTATGACCCAAGCATTCCCATACCGATCAACCAGAACATTCTCTGCCTTTGCATCACCCCAACAGAGGCCGATTTGATGTAAAAAATCAATGGATGCTCCAATTTGACGAATCCAAGTTTGGATTAGATCACAAGAGATGTCCACTAGATTCTTTTTACTCACCTTCTCACCACCTGGAATCTCACATACAAGAAATCCAAACACCTTATTATTCGAAACCACAAGACCAACAAGTTGCGGTATGTTGATGCCTCTTGGGAGCTGTCTCTCAGAAACAGTTTTTAATATTTGAATTTCCCGCTCAAGCTCAAGGGTGTCGCCAGTCTTGAAAATATATGTCTTAAACTCGCCAGAGACTCTGATGACCTTTTGAAAGTGGAGATCTTGAATAATCTTAAGTTTGCTGGCTTGGATCTTCCGAACGTTTGTGTGAAAGTGTGCCAGATCCAAGCCAACGGGGAAATGTGGACACTTTGTCAAACCAGGTTCATCGCGTTGAATGGCCTTCAGGCGCCCCTCGAGTGTCACAAGTTGTAGGATAATGGTCAGAGGATGTAGTCGGTCTTCCAGAGTCTCAGGCCGACGTTCCGGGCGCAGGGAAGCTAACCGCACCATGATATCCTTGCACGTCGAAATGGCAATATCATGAATTCTTTCGAGACATCGATGGAACAGGATCTCATCTGTCGAATCTTCGGCGTAGTCGAGTTCTTGAAGAAGGTTGCCCTCGATAGTTTTGTCCGGCTCTGAGCTTGGTCTTTTTAACAGAATAATAAAGCAAGTCAGATTGTAGAACAGACGAATCTCACAATTATCATTTTTTCCAGTAAATGTCTCCTGAATCACAATGCCGTCACCGCCAGAATCTGTCTCGCTGGTCATCATTTCTTTCTGTCGTTGTCGATACTGTCGAGACTTGTCGACGATCTGTACCGCGGAGATGTGTTGCATATACATATACGCGAAAACTTGGCAATCGACAACACGTGATAGTCACAGATATTTGCGACTTTTAGGCAGCAACTCAACAAGACAGCTGCGACTTTCTTCTACAATGGAAAATGCTCTTCATTCATCATTTCCGATGTAGCCTCCCATTATCTCAAAAACCTCATCCTTATTTGAATATGTGTACGGTTACCAAAACTGTCTATCGCTGTGGGCTTCATTCGAAGTCACGGTATGATTATTGTACGAACAATCGAAAGTTATGTAACAATGTTGCACGCGTCGATACAAACCAGACCTTTTCGGTGTGCCCAATCACTGGTTGTCGGTTTGAGATCCTAGATGGGTATTGGAAATGCTGTGTGTGTGGCAACGGCCCGAATAGGACAGGAAGATGTACCTTTGGAGAGTGAAGACATGAAGTGTGCTGGAGGTGTATGACGTATTCGCCTCCATCCTAAGTATGGTAACGAGACAAGTCTACATCAAGCAGGTCGGTAATCTGCTGACATTGTTTCTTCGCTCATTAGCTTCGGACGAGCTTGACGCTGTTGTGATGATACAGTATACGCATAGAAATCTAGTGCTCTGAGTGTAGAATGAATGCTGTTCTGTCTCCCATAGACAACAGAATCGGGGAACACGCGGCGCTTCTGGGGTTCTGGCGATGGACAATGAGGGTGCGTCTCGTAGAGCTCTGCAAAGCGGTTTCGCTAACTCAAACGCTGGACGAAACTAGCACGTGAAAAAATTTAGCGTTGTAAAACCACTCAAAATAACTTCCGCCAATCATACGCGTAAGGTCCCTCGAGCGGAGGTGGCGCATCCTCCAATCTCAAATGGAGAAATAACGGCCCGATGCCCTCATTTTGGCCAGTTCGGTTTCTCGAAGATTCGATGTAAACAAACACCGCTCTTGTCAAATATTCAGCTCGCAAGTTCCGGCCCGTACCGTCGGTCCACAGATGGCCACCCCAACGACTGTGCTACTCAGATCAGTATGCCACGCCCAGTGTGGTGGTGGTCTTGGCATTTGCAGGGATTAAAGGAGTGAGTCATACAACAATTGTCCAGCCGTTTCCATCAAGAACTGAACTCTTTCCAGCGGACTGGGCACCGCACACCAGGGAGATATGGTCATCTACCCTTCCGCCGCCTCGTGCCTCTGGAGAGGCTTGACGTGAGAATATTGGCTTCCAACTCTGCGCGCTTCGAGGCTCGCGAGCAGACGATCCAGATGATACTGAGCAGTGTTCGATTCAACTATAAACTCATATCCAACCTTGCATCCCTGGAGCTTCCTTTTCTTCGTCGTGTTTCCGGGATGGCAGATAAAGGGCGCCGGATGGAAGCCCGACCAAAATCAACTATCATTGGATGTTTGAGTATATCGTTCCAGAGGATGTTCCGCGGTTCAGCATCTCCATGGAGGACACCTCGCCGATGATTTGCCTAGAGTGAGCTTTTAACCATGTTTTGATACTGGCAAGCGTCACTGGTGGATTCCAGCCGTATCTGTAACATCTGCCGGTGCGGCTCCGAGGAAACTGGTGGAGGGCAAACTCGCGGCTAACCTAAGGTGGTGAGAGAAAGGGGCTGGGGAGGAGCGACGCAGCTCCAGCCCTAAGCCCTAGTGTCTATCAACACAACTCTACGAAGCGTCAATTTTAACCGGACTTCTTGGGCGGATGACTTTCACGCACCGTCAAATTATTCTTGTACGAGGCCCTGGCTGGTCTAGCTACAAAATAGATTAAGTGTCATGGTAAACCGGCCCGCCGAAACGAGCCTCAAGTCATCCGCGCACGAGATGTGCTTATTAAACTTTCAAGCACTGAAAGGAGCGGAACCGCCATTATCATATGCAAAAAGAGTTGTCGTATTGTGCTACTTATTCTTCCTTGGTCTCTTAAAGGTTTGTTCAGTAAAAGAAGTGGTCGGCGTAACACTTGCTGAAGCAACGTAGCGGAGGCTTGGCTGGCTGCCATCATCCTCTAGTGCGGATCCTGATTCGGTGTTGGATAGTTGGGAGAATTGAAATTCCGAAATTTCAAAATCGACACCAGGGGGTATTTGATCGATGGCTGAGCAGATCCTTTCAAAATATGCCGGCATCCATATTTCATAAACATTCCGCGTAAATCTGTACGCTGTCCATTTCTCTTTGCCGTCCAAGGCAGTGAAATCGAAAGTATGGATAGGGTGCCGGTAGTATGTCGTTTTGTCTTCTTCAATCACTGCATAATGGCCGTATATCCTCACTGTCCTATGATCATGTGAGATAGAGAAGGCGAGGATCTCCCGATTAACTTCCGCCCCACGCCCCACGAGCTTAAAAAGCTCAACAGCAGCTCTCACTGCAACGGATGCGCTATGGGCATTTTGCCGATCTGCGATATCGAGTGCTGACGCGCCACACTTGACCTCACACGTAAAAAATGGAAAGTACATATAATAGGTCGCCATAAAATACGAATTGTCGGTAAGATCGCCGACAAAGGGCCGAAGCTTTTGCAGCTGTTCATCTGTGAATGCCTTTCGTCTAAATCCCACGGAATAATCAGGTTGCGGACGCGGCTTTGTTAGAGGGATCGTGTTGTCCCAGCCTTCGTTAGTACTTTCAATCAAGCATTCAAGATTGGTAGATCCGCATGCAGCCAGGATTTCTGCAGAAGGGACAATTAGTGGAGAAATATTCCGAATGACCCTGGTTTCGTTTCGGTCCTGTATCATTTCGCAGGTTTTGTCAAATAGGTCGTCGCGAAACAATGATTCTGTGGGAATTGTCTGCTCGGTTCCTAACAAATCTGAACAAAGGCGTATACTTGCGTTTGTGATACCGACATTAGCCTTCCTCATAAAGATGCCTTTGCTTTCAAGAATAGTTTTATAGCGTGGATTCTTGTATTGAGTGCTTTTCTCTTCTCTCGGTTTCTGATCGCTAGGGGTGGTAGAACTAGTAAGGGTAGATTCCGACTGCCTGCGACGAAGCGAGGATGTCGACTTCTTTCTTGCTAGTAAGTGGCTCATGGTAGGTTCTTGTTCAAAATATCCCCCAGGCCAGCGTCCTTGCTTTCTCCAGTACTCAATTAGCTGGTTTCTATTGTTCCAATTGCCGTCTGCTGTTTCCTGGAAAGGAGTTCCCTCAACAGCGAAGCACGCAAGAGATGTTGGTCGTCGTTTTCGAAAATGGGTTGAAAGGTTGGAAGAGTCTTCGACTACTTGGGGTCGTTTCCGCTTCCGACTGTTTTCCTGAAGAGAGCCAGGCTGATTCTGCGGGAACTTGATCTTAAGTCAGTTTTGTAGTGAAACAGGAGAATGGTCGCATACCTTGTCTTCCGGATATGAAGAGGTGCGATTATGGGCGGTAGGTTTGTCCGATACAGGATTATTTTGAAGACAGCTTATCTTCTGTAGGCGCGCGCTCCGGCGGGGAGGGCGTAGAGGTCGTGCCTTTTGGACACCTTGAAGTTGGTTGCGTATCAACAAGGAAGGCTGAACTTGGCCTCGAGTTTTTGTCACCGAGGATTGCTGTCTTCCAGCTGAATTTATTCTTGGGCGCGGGGCCATGTCGACTTCGAAAAGGTAAGATGCAGTGTTATGGCACTGCCGGAATATTTTTTTGTGATGAGAAGGGCTTCAGCAGCGTGTCGAAGAGCTGCCAGGATCCGATCACTAGTTACCTAGCCTCACCTAGCCGTGACGTGGAAAGGAACGGGATCGTCCGAGTTTCATCTTGGAAGGAAATGGAGGCTTAGTTGGGTGCAAAACATCTGCGAACCCCAAACTCTAAACGGATGTAATGTAGTTATGATTGGGCCAGCTCAATTTCCAGTCAGTCGTTTAGTCCTCCTGGAAGTCAAGAGCACATCTTGAAAGCTGTTGGGGGCGAAATGAGGCCCAATAGCACTTCCTTAAACAGGGATCGGAGCGCAGTTGCCCATCTCTCTTTATATTATAGAAAAACCAACTTTTTCCGTGAAAAAAATACTGTAACGTGACCTCACGTGATATCACGTGCAGCCCATCAAATTCATGAATGGATTGAACAGCTGGCTCTGCAGCCTGTACAGCTCTGATATTAATCTTCATTATTTTCTTTACAAATGTTCTCTATTGTATTTATGTTCTTTATACTCTTCTCTACATTCATTACAATCTATATACATTCATTAATATACTCATTTCATGTGCCTCTGCTCAGTGTGTAGGGATTCTCATTCTTTCAATGTGTTTGAATGGTTTCAATTCAATGCATTATTCTGTACATGCTCTATATGCTGTCAAGCTCAGTATTGCGTACATGAAATATATTCAGTTCAAATCTTTCATCTATCATTGAGACATGTAGCTGCTTCTATACTCAACTCATAATGAATTGAGCTGTCATATTATGATGTGTGCTGTGAAATCATTCATTTCATCTGTTTTACATTGTTATTTATATTTTTAAGAACTGCATCAACTGCTGAACTCTCAATTGTGAATCTGTCTGTGATGTCAAACATTATTATTCAACAGCTGTCATTGCAGTTTCTGCAACAGATAAGTTTGTTAATTATATATATATTAATTCATTATTGATTAAATGAATGTCTATTGCTCTGTCTGCTGAGTTAAATATTAAATTAATGAATGTGTACACAGATTGTTAAAAACTTTTTCAATGTTTTTTACATACTGTGTAAAAGATGCTATGAGATTATTATTTATTAAAGAATCTTCATTAAAGTTATATGAGCTGTTTAATGACAATATATCTGATATGAAGTATTTTCACAGACATATTCAGAACTACAACTCTGCTCTGATATTTACATCTTTTAAATACAAGTAGAATTCACATCTTGATTGTCTGATTATTAACAGCTCAATATTATTTTAAATACAGAAGAAATTTTATCACTTGCAAAAATTATTAAAATTTAAATCAGATAAAAATATTTGTTTTGTATAAATGTAAATTCACAATTCACAATTTGATATGAATATTGTAAATGATGCAAACTCTGTTATACATTTTAATATATTTAATTATATCTATATTATATTATTTATTGTTTATTCATTTACTTTTCTACATTCTTCTGTTATATTCTTGACTGTTAATATTTCTAAAATTAACTCTTTTATTCAGTTTTATCAGTCTGTATAACAAATACTATGAAGCAGCTCTGTTATATGTGTTGATTTGAACTCTGTTGTATAGTTAAAAGCAGGCAATGATCACTGCTATGAAAATCTGTCTATTATTTCAGAAAATACAGTTGTTATATAAAATATTTTCAGTAATGCTCATCATTCTCATATCGTTTTTTTGACATTGTGAGGGGTGATAACAGTGTGAAGAGTGAATAGTAGAAGATAATATATAGTGTAGTAAAAAATAATAATAATTATAGTAATAATAATAATGTAAGTTGAAGTTGTAACTAATCACTAAGAAGGAAAAGAAAGAGAAAGAAGATTTGTGAAATGCATGCATTCATATATATATATATATATAGAAATAGTGATAGCAAGAGTATAATGGAAAGAGATAAGAATAGATGAAGATATAAATAAAGATAATATAATAATAAGAAAATAATAAACAAGTGCATTACAATTGCCTCTTTTTTTTATAAAAGCTGTTTTCAGTATGTATGTATGTATGTATAGGTTTAACGTCCCGGAGAAAACACGGGCAGCGCCCGTGTTTCAGAAGCCTCCCGAAGGGCATGGAGATGTGCTATGCTGAAGAGATTTCTATGTACAGAGAGAGAGAGAGAAAACAGAATCCAGATGACAACTCTTGAGAAGTCTCAGCTTATTGCAAAGGATTTTTCTGAGCTGTGCATTCACTTCTGACCCGATGTATGACCATTCATGATGAGGCTATAGTGTGGTTCTCTGAGAGGACTGCTGCCGCTGTGTCTGTAAGGCTTTATAGTGAGCAGAGAAGAATATCTCTCTTAGTTGATCAGAAAGCTGTCTGTGCTTCTAACATCAGAAGAAAGACAGATAAGATAAATAATAAAAGAAAGAAAGGGAAAGTGTGTGTTCTGAAATGAAAAGAATAAAAGAAAGAGGTGAAGGAAAAACTGTGTCATCTGCAACACCTTGCAATCACATGACCTGGCACAGACCCAGGGGAAAAGAGAGGAGAGAGCACTGAAGAAGGTTGTGAAAGGAAAAAAGTAGAGAATGACAGAGAGAGCAAAGAAAAGAAGAAAAAAGAGGCATTTGAATTGGTAAAGATAAAGGCAAATAAGAGGAAAAATAAAGCAGAGTACATGTAGATACAATGCTGGCAGTCAAGAACATATCAACTGAGTCAGATATATAGATTGTATTGATTACACCACAGTTAATCAAAACAAATGAGTTCAGTTGTGCTATCTGTACTGTCTGCATAGACTGTGATGTCCCTGGCAGTTGCACTAGCTACCATGAGTGTACTCAGCAGGCCGGCCTTGTGGAACTGCTGCAGAGGTTGTCAGATGGTTTGCAGCCAGCCGGCTGTGTTATCTTGTGCAGTACTGTGTGTAGAACTGCATGGAGTTCAGCAGTTCTACAAAGTTTGTAGAGGTCAGAGACTGTAGATAGACAACAGCTGTGACTCAATTGTATGACTGTGCTGCTGACTTCTTGAATCAGTGAAGAAAATGTCTTTGTAAATGTTGACAGAGCATCAAATGTTCTGAGCTCTTGTTGTGTTCACAGATACAGATGAGCCTCACATCTGCATGCTGGAAACACCTGTGGTACCAGGAGAAGTCCCCATGAGAGGAGCAGAGTGCAAGCCAGCAGTGAAGGGCATGTTATAGCATGGTGAGCTCCGGAGGGGCCTTCATTTAGTATTCCACAGTCAGCCTGCTGAAACTCCAGCCCTGGTACCAGTCAGAGAGCTTGCCACAGGCTCCACTCCACCACTTTCACCTTGCCTCTTGACTGAGCTGCTTGGCCACTGTGTGGACCCCACTGACTGTGGGTGTGGCCTCGAGACCATAGACTGGGGCTACAGTGAATGAGACTGCCTGCTTAGTCAAGCAGTCTGCTTCCTCATTGCCCTCTATCTCCATATGCTCAGAAGCCCATTTCAGGCCGACATTGTGCTGTCTGAGAAGCTCATGACAGCAGTTGTAGACTCAGTTTGAGGAGGCTGCTGCACTGCTTTGTATGCCTCAGATGACTGAGATGTTGTCAAAGCAGAGTCAAATCTGAGGATTGCTGCTGTTCTCTGTGATACAAAGCAGAAGCTTCACAGTGCACTCTAATGTCTGACAGACATCAACTGCCTCAGTGTCAAAGACATGTGACATAGAGCTCAATGCAGTTGAGAAGCTGGTCAGCTGTTTATTTCTCTGATAGATTATGAAGTTATAACTCATCTGTCTGCTGTTGTCAAGATTCTGTTCTGACTCATCTGAGAAAACATACAGATCTGTTGAGGGTTGATTTCTTCGCCATTTTTTGAATATCTGAGCAGCACTCTTTTTATCTACACCCTCTGTGAGGTCTGTTCTGCATCCCTCTGAATAGTGTGGGATGACCACCTCATGAGTGAAAGCAGCTACCAGGTCCATTGCAGATCGTCTGGGCAGCGCCCCCCCATGCTGTGGGCTGACTATGCCGTGAATGAGTGCCGTGTACGCCAGTCGCCTTGCAATGATGCGTTCCAGCCCTTTGGAGATTACTGAAAGCAGGGCAATGGGCCTCCAGGAGCGGACTGAGCTTCTATCTCTCTTACCCACCTTGGGTATCATTGCCACCTCTGCCAGTTTCCAGGCTCGTGGGAAGTGGCAGAGCCGGAGGCAGCAGTTGTATAGCTGCTGTATAAAGAGGGACACATGCTGCCAGCATGCTTTGAGCATCCGCACTGTGATTCCATCCGTGCCTGGGGAGGTGCTCTGTACCCCAATGGTGTTGCGCTCCACCTCCTCCATCCCAACCCGGGGGTTCCAGGGCAGGTTCCCCATGCCGCTCCAGTGCTCATCATCCAGTGGGTCATACTCCAGATCATCAGCTGAGTTGTATCGCTTCAGAATTGCTTGTTGAAGTGCCTCAGCTTTGGCGGCTGTCTCTTCTATGACCTGATCCCCAATCACCAGAGGGTGTGCTCTGAGGTTGGGTTCCAGCTTATGCCATGCCACCACCCGGTACAGGTCTCTACCATCTCTGGCCTCATTGATCACCTGCCTCCAGTATGCACGCTTGGCCTTGCGCACTGCATCCTTGAACTGGTGCTTCGCGGCCTCTGTCTGGTGAGTGGTGAGCTCTCGGTGCGCTCTTCGGCAGTCTGCTGTCCACCAGGGGGCTGTGGTCCGCCCTTGTTGAGCTGGCTTACTGACTGCCTGAGCCGCAGCCAGAAGACTCTGAGTGAAGTGCTGGGCCAGATCATCAAGCTGTGCCACATTTCCAACCCCCTCTGGGCAAGGCATGTCCACCATGAGACCTCTGACAAGATCTGCAAAGGGCTCCAGCTGAGAGTCTGTGATCTTGATCTGAGCATCACTCAGCTGTGTTTGAGGTGTTGTTGGCAGCATAGTGATCATAGACTGGTGATCTGAGCCGCAGTGTAGATCTTGACGCACTGTAGTGGAAGCAAAGGCCACATTGGAGAAGGTGAGATCAATCACATGACCTGCTGCATGAGTCGGAACCCCTATCTCTCCCACAAAGTCCATCCCATGTTCACTGGCCCATTGGACAAGCTCCCCGCCTCGGTGCAGATTCACTGCCCCTGGTTCAAAGGCATCATGCCGTACATTGATATCCCCACCTATCAGACAGCGGGCTGGTGGGCTCAGATTGGTCAGATAGTCCATGACTGCGTCTGTCTCAGGCTGTCTGTACACATTGAGAATGTGGCAGCCATTTACACTGACCCATAGCAAATCCCTGCTTTGCACAGACCGGTGTTGCTGTGCTCTTGTCTTTGAGCCCTTGCGTACATATGTCATGACCCGGGGCCTCTCCTCCTCTCGCTGCTCCGGGTTAGTGTCATCCCAGCAGTCTATAGGCGCAAAGCACTCATATGCTGGGTGGTTAGAAGTCTTGGTGCCAGGGTGTGTGTATGGCTCCTGTATACAGACCACTTCACAGCCCTGCTCAAAAGCAAGCTGCAGAGCTGCTGTGTGACAGAGGGCTGCCCTGGCCGTATTTGCCCAGAAGACCTGCAGGGGGCGATTTTCCTGCTGGTTGTTCCTGCAGCGCCAGCCGCGTCGCTGGTGTTGGTGTCCTAGCATGAGAAGTCACTTGATGAGCTGCTGCCGAAGTCCACCTGCGGGATGAGGTTGAAGGCCTCCAGACCTGCTGTCTGCATGCTGGAGTCAGACTGTTCTTTAGCTGCTTGACTGTGCTGCCACACTGCTGTGCGAGCTGAGCGTCGCCTGGTGCGGGCCATCTGCCAGGTGGCACCCTCCTCACTGATGGAACTCTGAGTAGCCGCCCGCTTGCAGGGTGCTAGCCCAGCGGGCTGTGTTGACTGGGTTGACTGAGTGGTTGATGTAGGTACCACCACTGCGACCATTGGTGCTGGCTGTGCTGGCGGCGGTTGTCGCTCCTGAGCATCCCTGTGGCACCTGTCGCCAAGGCGGCGAACAGCTGCTAGCTCTTTTTGAGTTAGGCGCCTGAGGGTGCCATTCACGCGCCTGGGTGCGGCAGGGCAGTGCTGATGCCCAGCTGGGTAGGGTTGGCAGCAGTTGGCACATCTTGGCGCTCTCTTGCACTCCGCGCCTGTTGGCCCCTCATGCTGGCTTGTGGGCAGAACCCCTGGCATTCTGGGTTATGTCTCACTGTCAAAGGCCGTTTCTCAATCAGCCTGGCCCTCTCACTGGCATTGAAGCCTTTTACCGGGGCAAGGAAGGAGACAATCCATGTACTGAGCCAGAACCTCTCCCTCAATCATCTTGTCTGTGGGGATTCTTGCCCCTTCCCAGTCCTGGACAGATTCTGGGACCCCTGGGACAGCATAATTGTACCACCGCTCTGGTAGCCGGATCTCCGTGGCGCCAAGGACTTCACAGAGAGTAGCCACTGCCTTCTCAGTGGTCAGAGCGTCGCGTATGCCTCTGTTGCTTGGTGTGATCGCCCAACCTGTCCTGGTGGGCTCCACCTTCGGCACATTGGCCACATCCCCCACCCCCTGAATGTTTGCAGCGATTGCCTGCCGCACAGCATATGGCTGTAGCCGGGCGACCCGTCTCTCTGGCTGGAGGGTGACGAGGACTTGTGGGTCCTCCTGCTGTTTTGTGCCCTCTGTGGGGCCCCCTGGCTGACTGGCGCTTTTGGGCTGCAGGCTCGCTCCACTAGCCCTGCCTGCCGAGGAAGCCGCAGTCTTGGCAGGGGTAACCCCAGGGAGGGCAGAGTTTTTCCCCCTCTGAACAACACCCGCCCAGGTAGTCGGCTCCCTCGCCGCTGTCTTTGCTGCATTTGGCTGCGGATGAGTATCCGGGGCAGCACCCCCTCTCAGAATTGATGCTGCATTCAGATCTGCTGTCACATACTTGACAAACCTCTCACAGAAGATTCGGGCAAAGTTCTGACTGACTGACTGCTTCTCCCCCTCAACCCAGCTGTCCAGAGTCCTTGCCAATCTGATGAGAGCCTTCTGCTGCAGGTTCTGTTGCTGAGCCTCCTCAAACTGCTTCTGCAGCCGAGAGGTGGCCGTGGGGATGCTGTCGCTGGCTCCTTTGAGGACTGGGGGAGGCATTGTGACAGTCTTCCTCTGCCTCTTGCCAGCCTTTCCAGTGACAAAATTGGCCGGTGACTCCGGCTCCAGTGGCCTGGTGTAGGCCGTGTCGATTTCCTTGGGCGGACGGGAGGGCGTTGAGGGCTCCATGACCACTCAACCTGTGCAGTACACACACGTAGAGAGATCGCAGAGGGCGTGCGATGATATTGAACGGGTTGGAGGGTTAAAATTATACGAAAAACAGTTGGAAAAGTGGAAAATTCAAATGTACCCCTACGTTCGTGGGTAGTTGTAAGGATGTTCAGATGATATAGCATTTGCTCATGATTCATATTAAAAAATGATAATATTATAATGCAAAGAAATGTCTGCAGAATCAGAATAGCAATAATTATTTTAATTGATGCAACTCTATTGTCAATATTGAAAACAATTCATCAACTATCATTGAAATTCATTAGCATTTTGAATGGCATTCAAGTGTGTAGAATTCTGCTATAGTAGTTGATTAATTCAAACAGATTGATTAGATGCAGAAACAAATGATGAGTTTGAAATATTAATCTCTTTTATAAATTTTAATTTTTTAAACTGATTCAGAAGCTCTTCACAATTTACTTTGATTTCAAAATCAAATTTCCAAAAAAATTGAAGGAAATTTCAATGTTGACTCATTAAAAGCTCTGTAATTTAAGATGTTGAAGTCAATGAAAAATCCTCAATATCATAATTGTGTAAATTACTCCATTCAGTTATTGATCTCACAATTGCATTTTAAGTGGTAATTGAATAAGAAAGATTTTCAATTAATGATGTCAGTGAGCTCATAATAACCTTCTCAATGTTAGTTAAATTTAATAAATGAACTGTGGTTTTTGATAAAATCTTCTGAATAGTTAATTTTTTTTTTTGATGTATATATATAAATTGATTTCAATTGGAAAGTCAACTTTTTGCATATGATCATTCATAGACTCTTCAAGTTCAGAAGTAAAGATTTTATTATCAGTATTTTGAAATACTCAATATACTTCACAGATCTTTCTATTGTGAACAATTTTTTAAAAGTTTTTTTTAAATAAATACAGATGATATGCAGCTTCTTCTTTTTCATTTAAATTTTTAAAGAGTGATAATATAAAAAGAGAATCATCATCATTCTTCACATCATTAATTTCAATTGTTGATTGTTTCTCAATATCTTCATATACAGACTCAAATGAATTTCATAATGATGTTTGAATTCTGACTTTTTTTACTGAATGAGATTAATGAGGTAAAGATGGAGTTTTTGTAGCAGATTCTCTTGATTTTGATGCAGCTTTTATCAACTGTTTTGTAGACTTTTTAACACTTTGGTCATTTCTCATTCACGTAATTTCCCGAGTAGCAGAGGTTGGCACGTAGGTGCCAGCAGGATTTGGATATGGCTGGTCTTTAGAGGGAGGCAGATCGATACACGGAATGTGTTTTCTATGTAGATCATAAGAAACAGATGGGACAGTAGTAGCTTTTGCAGAAGAAGTCTTTGCAGTAGAAACTTTCACAGTAGAAGCTTTTACAGTAGAAGCTTTTGCAGTAGAAACTGAAGTTATTGCTGCTGTAGGGATGGAAGGGGTGTCTTTCATGTTTGAACATCGCATTGTGGTCGAACGGCGTTTTGAAGGCATGATGATATATATATGCACAAATTTTCCGAATTAGGAAATCAGTATAGCTTCATTCAATATAGGATATGAATAATATATTGCAATCAGAGAATATCAGATCTGTATAGAAATTGCTGCGGAAGTTGATGAAATTCGTTCAAATGGTGTCAACGCGTTGTTTTTGACTGCCAAGAAATGACAGAATTTTCGAATACGCTAAATTAGAGATCATTAGAGAGCATCAGAGTCGCTCCCAAGATCATCTACATCATTAAAGTTTTTTTGATTATTAGAAAATGAGATTTTAAAGTTATATATATTATATATATGGCATTTTGAAATACAGGTTAAATACAAGCCATGAGACATTTGTCACTAAGGTCCGCTGCAACTAACTCTAAAATCAAGCTTGAACCCCACTGTGTTGAATACAGAGCATTGCCTTTCAATGCATTTGTCAAACGAATAATATTTCTACTCTTTCAATCACGCTTGTTAAGACGCCAAAGATGTGAAAAGATCATGGGCTTCAAAAAAGGTAGTTAGTGTGGAGTAACCAGCACGAGTGTCTAAAACATTTTACCTCGTAGGATCGCCAATGAGGGGTACACTTCGCATTGGCTTGTTTGTTGGCATGTATTTAAGTAGCTTTGAGTCGCAATAAGGACGGCGGACATTGAATCCAAGGAATAGCCAAGACACAGAGTTCGCGTTTTATTCGCCGCAGATTGAAGGGATGTGAGCATCGAGAAGCTTCTTTAACTGGAGTGAGGACACAAAATACGAGTGAAATTGAATCCGCTTAGTTGCCTATTTGGTAATACGGCATCACAAATCTTCGGGGTTGAGAGGATCTGTTTTCGAGGAATTAGTGAGCATGATATCAGAGCTACATGTAAATTCAAATCATATGTGAGTATGTAATGCCTTTTTCCATCAGAATACGATTCAAAACTAGAAGGTAGATCGGTCAGTTGCTCGAGCCTTTCTCGCCAGGAAAAGCACATGTTTATATGACTTGGGAATATATAGACACGCATCACCAGCCATCAAAGGAAGCCTGCACCTGGATCGGCAAAAGTAAAGGAACTTTTTGCCAACTCTGCAAATGCGTCATGTTAGTCCGTATCTAAAATTCGGGGTTGGAGATAACTTTGTCTCGAGTTTTTAAGCCCTAGGATCACTTAAACACCACGATTTCCTAATAATGCTGTCAGTTATAAACATGTTGGTTTCGGTGAATAAGCGGTCGACATGCAATACTAACGATGGCGTATAGGATCGTTATCCGTGTGTCATGCCATGGCAACTAGTTTCCAGGCCACAGGTATTCGGACTCCTCATATGATATTCGACATAGTCGGGGCATTTTACCAGAAGAAACAGCCTCGACCGCTTTTAGCGATATTGCTCATACTGGACATCCAATAAAGGACCCAACATGTCAAAAAAGTCCTGCCCACCCGTCCACCCCAGCTGATTTGGGCCTAAGCCAGCGAAGCTCATCAGAGGATCCTGATGAAAGGAGCTTTGCTCGAAAATTCCATTGGCTGGATTGATAGGCTGATAAGCGCTTGGTTCGCCAGTTGCTGCAGGGACACTTGATGAGTTTTGCAAATTGTAATCTTGCTTCGGGGTCACCATAGGTTCCGTATCTGCTGAGTCGGCAGGTGGGTCGTAAGAGGTAGGGTTAGAGGTGGTAGGAATATCTGCGGTAGCTCTATCTTGGCGTTGTGATGGAGTATTACCGGGAGTCATATTCTCGCTCTGGTAATTCTCATTTCTTATGGCTCTCATAACCCGACTTCGAAGACTTGTTGCTAACGCCGAGAGAAGTTCACCAAACCGGTTGCTCAAGTGAACGTCATCCACTACACATGTACAAAGCGCATCTGCGGTACGCTCAACTAACTCGAGTGAGACCACAGTTTCTTCATCCTTATCTCCAAGGGCAAATGCCTGAACCAATTGAAATTAGTTTCTCGAATACAAAATTGGAACGCCCATCCAATGGTGTGTTAATCACATACCTTCAGACAAAACATCGCTCCTGCGAGGATCCTCGAATAGGTTCGTATGGGAACATGTCGTAGGTGATCGTTGGGCACGAGATCGTCCACGACTGTTTGCAGAATGGAACGAGCGGCAAGAACCACTTCCATAAAATATTCACTATTTCCTTCGGAGGTATTAAGCACCGATGAAACTCGCATATCTGTACCGTCACTGGTAACGCGGTTACGGTGCTCAATAATAGCTTGAAGAGCTACGCTGTTGATGGACACTCGAACATATCCATACTCTATCGAAAGTATGGCCCGCATCGGTTTTGAGACTGTCCACAAACACGTTAGATCATAATGTACATGTCAGAAGCATTTTAACAATGCCCGCAAATCAACTTACGTTTTGCTCGATCAAATTCCATCTGCCACTCCCTAAGCAAAGGGTTGAGAATACGAAGAATTGCAAGATATTCACCACTTCGAACCATCTCCTTTGTTCTCTCTCGAGAAGTAAACAGAAGCTCGTTTCCTCGTTTCATGAGCGAGGCAACTCCTATCCAACATCGAATAGTATCACCATGCTTCAGACTAGCCTCATGGTGGCTTACAGATACCGACGTCAGATTTTTCCACCCTACAATTGTGAGCATTGATCAAAATTCAATAGGTCGAAAGAAATGAAACTCTTACCTAGCCTTCCCGAGGTCTGGGTGAGATATACCCAAAGTAAATGCTGTACGCGATATGCTCGCTGGCTCGAGGACGGGTCGTTCCATATATCCCGGCGCGATTCCCGAGCTCCTATGGTTGTGTTATCATATTCATCGAAGATACCAAGCTCAACCGCAAGCGCCAGCGCATTCCCTAGCATGGACCAGCACATTCGATCCGATCTCCAAACAGGTTCGAGCCAGTCAATCCGAATGCGGCCACCAATTCCGGCAGTGCTGGCCCGGGTCCGTCGGACCTCATCTTTCACAATTATGCTGTCTCCGTCATCACCAGCTGGAACATTCAGGGAGCGAGGATGCCATTCAGATAGCAAAAGCAAAGCTTCACACGTCCCCAAGGTGCGAAGACTTCCAAAGGTGGATCCAGCAAGAGCGGATTCAGCAGCTTGGCCAGAAAAATCAGTTGAGGAACCGTTATCATGGGTAGCACCAGCGAACTGTTCTTGGCCAAATATCATGCGAGAAATCATTCCCTGTAGATGTTGCCATAGGCGTTCGTGAACCATATAAGACCTAGAAATCGATCCGGGACCCGAGAGCTTCATGTACCGAGAGGCCAGCATCAATATTGTGACAGCAAGAATGGGTTCTTCGACCAGCAAGGTTGGATGCATGGATGGGTCCTGAAAGGAGGAAGAGGAAACAGGGGTAAATGGTGCGAGGTAAGCATGAAAATAGTTGACGAGGTCCATGGCTTCCTCCGCAGTAAAAAGGCCTGTTCGAACAAAACGCAAATTCGACCAAGGTTGGCGGGGATCGTCGGTCCCAGAGCTGTGCTTCCTTGATGAAGTCACAGATGGCCGCAAGGGCCCGCTGGAAGTTTCGGAAGGTTTTGCAGATGTTGCGGTGCCAGGTACAATTCCCCGCTCTCGTTCGCTATGTCTCCCTGCTTCCCAAAGAAGCTTTAGGGCGTCATGAGAAGTGTAGGCAGCGTCACGAAGGAGGGCTGCTACTGTTTTCTCACCACCATACGAGCCACTTTGGGGTCGATAATCGCCGGATGTCATCTGTCGTATGATCTCCTGAGGTATTCTGATTTGACTACCATTACCACCCCGTGTTGCAAGAGAATTGGCCACTGGGTTAAACTCATCGAGGCTTCTGCCATACGGGCTAGCAAGAGGGCTAGGTCGCTCAGACTGAGGCAGATAGCCCTCTGCTGGCTGTTGAGTAGTTTGTCGAGAAATTCCTGATGTTGTTGATGCCTTCCTTTTTCCTCTAGTAGCGGAAAAATGACAGATTTTCCGTTCCCGCCGGCATCTTCCACATGGGCCATCATGAGGGGAGTCAACGGATCCCAGGTCGCAACGAACTCTGCGTTCGCGACAGGGAATGCAAGCCTATAAATAAACCTATCAGGCTATTCATATAATTCCAAAAACCATTACGTAGAAGCATGTTATGACAGTAGAGATGACAAAAAGAGGGCAAAATGCTGATGGCATTCTCATTCAACTCCATCTCAGAGGGTCATACCTGATAAGCCCGCTTGTGGACACGAGCCGGAGCGGTAGACATGGCCGACTAACCGATGTACGGCGCCAGATTGATCGCCAGCACTCAAAAAGGGAAGAAATTACAAGATTGAACAGCAGATGTGGCCTATATCCTTCAAACGCCTCTGGTTGAAGGGAACCAGCGGGAGCACATGACTGAGTGGTCACGGGACTCTACTACTAGGCAACTGTTGGTGTTGGCCCTAGGCTGCCTATCACGGACTAGCGCACTGCACATATATGCCTCAGCTGCCGACATGCTACTTAGGGCCTGTTCGGTGATTTTGTCCGTACAGTGCCAGGGCCGTACAGAAAGTGGATATTTGCCTTTTGACAGTGTGAACCTTCATTATTGCTGTCTTTCCTTATATGAATATTAATCTGCTTGGTGTTCTGGCATTACTTTTATTACTTACGAGCAGTTATTATCATGATTATTGTGTGATTCCAGTGGATGTGTAGCAGTTGAAAATCCCATTATATTACTACTTTCTCACACTGAATATCAGTGAAAAATGGATCTCAATGAGTCTCAGATTGATCTGACATCACAATACCTTGATAAATCCTTGATAAATGAGAGTCAGCAGTCTGAATCTTCAACATTAATCATTCAAGCCACACAATGAGCCTTCTCATTCTATACTCAGTGAGTCTGGTGAGGCTCTTGAGTTTGAACTGCTTGAATCTCTGACATGGAACTTGCCATGCTCAATACCTTTATTGATGTCAAAAAATGAGGTTTGAAAACAAACAATGACAATTATAAAAGTGTTGTTTGACCTTCAATTATTGATACTGTCAACCAGCATATACATCAATCTATTATTAAAGATATATATAAAAATCAATGATGGAAGATTAAAACAATTTGAAAATTGTGATATAAATATCAACAGCAGATATCTCAGTGATCATTCTGTCAAGAAAAAATGACATTTATCAATAATACTGAGATTATAAGTGTGTATTTTGATCAACATTCAGAAATATGACAATTTCAATATTAGAAATCTATATAATCAAAACTTATCAGAAAACTATTTGATGATCAATTAACAATAAATGATTATATTATAGAATATCATATTCATCAATAAAGAAGAAAAATAAAGATGATAAATGAAAATATTAATAATGTTGAAACAGAAAAAAAATTGACATTCACATTTATATTTTTTTTAACATTTATATTTGTTGTGAAATTTTTTAAAACAGTTTATTAAAACTCTGTTAACTCATCTTAATCATCTACAAAAATGTCAATTGAAATAAATATTTGAAATCAATCCTTTAAAAAAGAATTTGATGAGCAATCAAATTATTTTTAAATGAGATTCAGAATTTACTTTCAGAGGATTGAAAAATGGATGATTGAATTTTTTATTCATAATATAGTAAGATATCATTGTTTTTATAAGATTCAAATATATCAGATTTCTATGTTGATTATAATGCAGAGTTAATAAAAAATTAGTAAAGTTTTATATTGACTCTATTTAATTCAGAAAAGCAGTAATAGAAGTAGTGAGATGAAAAAAAAATAATAACAGAAATAATGACAGAAATGATAGTAGAAATAATAGTAAAAATAATAATAAAAATTGTAATGTGACGGCGCCGAGGCGATTGCTACTCGGCAGCGGCACAGAGGAGGATGGTATATAATGGGAAGCCTTATGGGTGGGCTTGATTATCTCGCTTGAACCGCGAACTCGTAGAATACTATACAAATACTGAACTACCAGAGGTACTCGGCACACTAAGGATATTGTATGAGGACAGTGGTAACTCTGGTATCTTATTGTCAAAAGATAAAAGACGAATCGCTGGCTCCTGGAATAGAGAGCCAGCATCTAGCTATTCTATATAGACAACGGGCAGCCATCCTCCCCTCACTCTATGAGCGAGGGTAGCCGAAGCAACTCCGCAGTGGCGCTGCATTGATCTGCCAGAAGGAATCCAGACCCCGTATAGAAACAGGATTCTCATATCTCATCAATCGGATCCTCTTCTATTGCATCCGAATGATGTCATAGGGTGGTTGGAAACCGGTTCGGACACCTGCGTGATGTCATGGGATAGATGGGATTATCCGAGGGAAACGATGGGCCGTGTGGAGCCGTCACGGGGCCTTGGCACAACCAAGGGTGTGACAAAAATAATGAAAAATATCAATGAAATAAAAAATGAATGTAGAGTTTTCTTTAATAAATTATCAAAATAATAGTATTTACATTAAATAACATGGTTATAAAACATCACCACTTTTTGTAAGAGAAGGTTAGATAATATGTTGATTTTATTGATTGATAAATTACGCTATGTATTATATACTATAAAATACACCGATATAATACATATATTACTGCAATGAAAATGAGAAGATGTTTAAAATATCAATATTGCTGTGGAAATTATTTAATTTATTTGATTGCTCTATTGAAACTAACTAGCTTATTTAATTATTATTATGATTTTCATTCAGATATTTCTTATATCAGTTTCACATCTGCTCAATAATATCATCTCATTTTTTCATCATTTTCATCATTATTTTTTTAAATATCTGCAGAAACTGTTTCTCTTCTTTTTTTCTCAATATTAAAATTCTCATCATATTGAGTAAGCTCATTCATTTTCTTATAATGATTCATGAAGTTATGAATAGCGGTTAATGTAAAAACCAGGCCAATTTGAATTGTTATAGAGAATTCATTTTAATATCAATTATAGATTTGAAATCACTGTTTAAACATCTGAAATACACAGTTAATTACATTGCATAAACTCACATAATGAAGATTATATAGCTCTGAAGTATTGACAGATTGAAAATTCACTTTATCTCATTTCTTCAGATAATATTAAATTTTTGAATATGAAATTAATATCACATTGAATTTCTGTGAATAGTCAGCATTTGTTAAAAAGTAGTAGTTAGATAATATGATTTCAAATTGATTCTTTTTTTATATCTGTGAAAGAACTTTACTGTTGTGAGAAGATTCTTCTATTTCAGAGTAGATATATACAATATTCATATCATAATCACAAACAGCAAGAACATTGTGAGATATTCATTTCTTTCAATTTCATCACACAGATTGTTGATTTAAAGAAATAGAAATAGATAAATAAACTTCATTTAATGCTTCAATATATTCTTTTAAAAAAGATCAATATTGTGAATTTGAATTGAGAGCTTTCTTACTCTATTTTATTGAAGATTTAGACATTTTAACATAATGATCATAGAGTATGCAAAGTGATTTCAAAACCTGATGAAAGACTCCATACAAGTTATTAATTTAACATTAATTTGATGAGTATTCTATCATTTATATTATTTGAATATTGTATTTAATGAATGATGAAACATCTCTACAGTGTTCTAATAGCTCATTTTTTATGTTGTAATATACAAAAATATGAAAACCTTCTGCTCAATCTTTATAATGTGTATTGTTTCAAATTCATAAATATCAGTATTATTTCTCATTCAATCAATCAGTGTAATAAATGTACTGACACTCATCTGTGTCATATTCTTAATACACAATGAGTGGGAGGTAGAATTCAATAACTGAGTGGTAAATTGAAATCCATAAAATGAATCAGAATATATGAATTATATGTTAGATGAGACAATTGAAATGCTCTGATAAATCACTTTTGCAGTAACAAGTATGATTAATTATTGTCTACAATATAAATACTGTTGTATTGCTTTCTGAGTTATAGTATCACTGTTGCTTACTATGATCTTTGATTTTTGATGATATTTACAGGTTTGAGCTGGGCAGCGCTGGCTTGAGTCAGCACAAATCACGACTTGTTCCAGTGTATACAGTACAGATTTAACTTGATTAAGTTTAAATTCATCATTTTTTCAACTTATTACACTATTGAACTTTATAAAGTGGATTTTGAAACCAGCTTGGCACTTTTGATGAGTTATACAGAGTTATACACAAAATCTACTGAATAGCATACCCTTTTCAGCCAGATTAATGTGTACAGAGCTGTATAAGTCTGTATAGCTGGCACTGTATGGACTTATACAGCTCTGAACGGGGTCACCAAACAGACTCTTAGACATCTCACAGGTTATATTCACGGATATAAACCGTGTCAAAAGATTTTCCAGCCCTTATTCAGAATAATATCCATGAGATTTCAAAATATCATGAAATCAGATCACTCAATACTTTTCAATAATCTACACAACTTCAATCTGATATATCTGAGAATCAAACATTGTTCATCTAGTAGTAAAGAACTTACTTTTTCCTCAGATATATCATTGTATACAAAATGATGTTCACAGGTATTTTTAATGCTGATTGTAAATGAGTAGTTGCACTTCTCACTGAGATCAGCATTGACATCTCTATACTGTTGTAATAATCGCATTGAAGATATCTACATTAGAAAATAGCAATGTAGCAATAAAAGGTTATAGAACACACTGAAATTAATGAAAATGAATATAACATCAGACACTGCTGATAATGCATGAATTACTGTACTCTTTATTTTTTATATAAAATTCACTGATATCTGTAGATCTTAGAATATCAGTGATTAATTTTGAATAATAAAAATTATTATTTTTTTATAATCTTTATATATAGTTCACACTATTCATTAATTATTTTTATAGTTCAGTTTTTACAATTTTAATCACGCTGAAACCTCACTCAAGTGATCTGTTATTATGCACATTTTATAACAAAATTCATAATATTAATTAAAAACACATAAAATGATTTCTATAAACATAAAAATTTTTAAAAATCAATTTGAATTCTTTATTATCTTTGATGATTATAACATTCAATTGTAATAATTAAATGATCAGATCTGTAAACAAGAACAACAATTAACTATTTTATATATATAATAATATTTTAATAAATTGAAAATACAGATTTGTGAAGATATTTTTATTAAATTTCAATTAATTCAGAATATCATCACAAAATCACTGCTGAATCAATCTGTAATTGATGTAGATAATAATGATGATGAAATATTGCTGAGATTAAAGATTAAGAAATACTATCAAAAAAAACATATTAAAATTTAAAAATTATAAAAATTCCATATTGACTCTCTTCACACATCATTATCAATATTATTAAGAAAAAGAACACAAGATAAACAATGTTAAACTTTATTTAAATATTAATATTAAATGGAAATTATTGAATTTCATATCAATATATAAACAATATGATTAAGTAGCATCATTAACATTTATATATATTATCACATATAAAACTACAAATTAACAATCCACACAATCAACATCAATTAACAAGTCAGAGATTTCAAGGTACACGATAATAAAAATGACAATCAATAGATAACTTTTCTAAATATCTCAAAAACTGAAAGTATTATTTATTTTGATATAATGAAGAGCAGAGAATGAACAATTTATATAATAAAATATTAAAAATATTACACATTGAATTCAATCATTGAAATTACAAATCTCACAATTACAAGAAACTGCTTTAAACTCTACAGACTTTTAAAACAAATATATTATTCATAAAAAAAAATCTATAATATTCATTGAAAATCAATGTTATTTTGATAAATTCAACAATTACAGAAACAACAGAAAAAGAGAAAAATAAACAAGTTCAATTGAAGAATAAATTAAAAAAAAATAAATATAATTGAATGAAGAAATGTTCACATTGTTATAAAAAAAGTCATATTATAAGTGATTGTTGAATGCTACATTTTGAAAAATACAATCAGATTCAATAAATAAAAAATCAACAATCTCAATTACTAAAACTGCTGCATTGAAAATATGAACAATTAAATTATAGAACAAATAATTATTGACAATGAATATATAAATATTGATAAAAATAAAATGATTAATGATGTGAATATTAATAAATTCTGATACAAATATAAACTTCATATTTCACATTGCCGTAATATGACGGGTTAGCACCCGTTAATGGTTAACTTACGCAACCAACCTCTTCTGCCTCACACTCCGTGCCTGTGTAGTTCCTCACGCTCTGTGCTTGTGTAGTTGTGTAGTTCTAACAATTCTTCTGTGTAACCCTCAATGTTCTTCTGCTCCGTGCTCCACTGCGGGGCGGCTTCTGATATTCTTCCACCCCGATCTCCCCTATATACCCGCCCATGTGGATTTGCTGTTGCTGTTGCAAATGTCCTCACCCACCTGGCTAAGCGGCACCGCAACCATCCCTCGGCCGCGACGGCAGGTCTCCGGGAGGCCGCAGTGGCTGCGATGATGCAGGACCAGCTGGAGCCGGTGTTTGACCGCACTCAGGAACCCTGTTGCCCACCGCCTCCCGAGAGTGCTCCAGTCCGAGCCGGTGGTGTACTACCTCTGGCTGATTCTACCTTTCGCGCGGGCGGTCCAGCGGCTTGCATATGGAGACAGTGATAGCCAAGGGGGGCTGCGGTCACCATTTCTCTGGCCGCGGGGGCATGGACCGTGGGACAGCAGCCGGCTGCGGGTGGTGCTTCAGCGCGAGGCAAAGACACACCTCCAGACCAAGCTCAATGTAATCACTTGGCGGCATGCCGCCATTGCCATCTCGCGTATGCACCTGTCCTGTGGAGGGTTCAAGCGGGAATATGGGGCAGATGATGCGGCAGTAGACCAGCAGGCAGGCCATGGATCCTGGGCTGCAGGTACAGTATATGCGCGGGGGCTGCAGGAGGCACCAGGCCACATTGAGGCACGGCGTGTGCGGTACCAGGCTGTCAGCCGGGAGTGGCATGAATTCCTGGGGTTTAACCCAGGCCCAGGGGTGCGAAAGCGGGCACGGAACATGGAAAAGAGCGTTAGCAGAAAAGCTCAAAAACAGCAGCCATCATATGTAACAGTAGAAATAGATGACAACATAGAGCTATAAATGATAAAAGATATATATTTTTCTCATGCAATTCATTATGACCAGATTTCCAACTTCAGCAGCTAGCTGTCATCTTTATAAATTTCAATACAAATCAGCCTTTCACCTCCGTTATAAAATGTATAATATTATATTTTCATAGACAACTCATCACAACCAGACCTTAAACTTCAGGAGCCAGTTATATTATATATACAGAGTATGATATTTAATTTCAAGACATAATTTCATCAGAAAATCATATTATTACAACATTAAGGTAGATAAGTTGTTTTGCAGAGTTATCAATATTAAATATATATATTTCGCCCCAGGGCAACTACCATCATCAAAACGGTCACAGATCAGCGAAATAACAATCAGACAGAAATTAACATCATACATTTAAGTATTGATCTGCAATTGCTTAGAAGCATTACAAAACTTAAATTTAGAGCAAATTAACATTGTCGAGTGAAGTGTGTTTATACTTCATTTTCAGAGAATATATATATATATATATATATATCAACTCAAGAATACACTGACTTCATTAACATGGAACATCAATTATTCATTCAGTGTGAATCATACCCCATCATCATATGCCGTCAATGCAAGTATGCAGTATGGCCAACAGAAATTGAACGGCATTTGAAGGGTTCAACTCATCAGTTAAAGTATACAGCCACACAGAGTATCAAGCAGATAATTCAACAGTGGGATCATATCGCGCATGATCTCAGCCAGTTGATATTATCCACAGAATTGAACAAACCAATACATGAGCCGCTCATCCACAATGGCTACATGTGTTGGCGGCAATCTGAATGTCAGTATGTTGGAGGAACTATACGGAGCATGTACAAGCACTGACAGACCCAACACAGCTGGACTCCATGTCTCAGTCAGGGTTGGATGTCATCACAAAACCATATGCAGGTACAGAATGAGATCAACAAAGTAAATAAAAATAGCAAAATATATAAATAAACTGAAAGGGTTCATTCTGGAGTGATTTTAAACACAGAAAACCAAACATTAGTCGAACACGCTGGACCCAAGCCGTTGGACGTCAAACCCGTTGGACGTCAAACCCGTTGGACGTCAAACCCGTTGGACGTCGAAGCCGTTGGATGAGCGCATCAACCCGTTGGAAGTCGAACACGCTGGACCCAAACCCGTTGGATGTCGAACCCGTCCAAGGAGCGCATTAACCCATTGGACCCGAACCCGTTGGATGAACCCATCAACCCGTTGGATGAACCCATCAACCCGTTGGACCCAACCCGTTGGACGTCAAACCCGTTGGACGTCAAACCCGTCCCAGGAGCGCATTAACCCGTTGGAAGTCGAACACGCTGGACCCAAACCCGTTGGATGTCGAACCCGTTGGATGAGGAAGTCGAACGCGCTGGACCCAACCCGTTGGACGTCAAACCCGTCCCAGGAGCGCATTAACCCGTTGGGAGTTGAACACGCTGGACCCAAACCCGTTGGACGTCGAACCCGTTGGATGAGGAAGTCGAACACGCTGGACACAAACCCGTTGAACGTCAAACCCGTTGGACGTCAAACCCGTCCCAGGAGCGCATTAACCCGTTGGGAGTTGGGCGCGCTGGACCCAAACCCGTTGGACGTCAAACCCGTCCAAGGAGCCCATTTACCCATTGGACCCGAACCCGTTGGATGAACCCATCAACCCGTTGGAAGTCGAACACGCTGGACGATTATATCGGAAAGTGGAGGGGGGGGGAAGATCGAGTCAGTGGCATAGAGGTCAAATGACATCACAGGTGAGAGGCAGATGTTGACGAGCACCACATAGAGATAAAAGATATATGCATATATAAAGATCGATG